TATATATACGTTCCTCTTAATCTAGAACTTCCTCTTCTAGGAAATTATCTTAAATGTATCAAAAATGAGAACAAAGATTCATCAATAAAGATAACCATTACCTAAACAACAACAATACAATGCAGAAAAACTAGAAATAACTAAATGCCTCCACATAGGGTTGAGAAAATAAAGTACGGTAACATATGTCAGGAAATACCAGGCAGCCATTAAAAATCATGTTGTAGAAGAATAGTTAAGGGCATGGAGTATGTTAAGTGAAGGCATCAGGTTATAGAGCATTATTTATAGTAGGACCCCAATCATGTAAAACAATGTAGAGCTATATGTGTGGTAGAAAAAATACTGGAATGATAGGCATTCCAAAATTGTTAACAATGATTTTTGGTGGGTGGTGGAATTGTGTGAATTTTCTTTTTATTTTCTTCGAGCTTTTCTGGACTTCCTTACTTTGTTTTACAGTGAACACATGTTCTTAGATTCTCTATACATCTGGGCCCTTCTGCCAGTCCTGGACCAGTGCCAGGGTCAGCAGTGGTTTGGTGTGCATTTTTGCAGAAAGATGATGAGAAAGAAGCAGTGGTAAAGCCTCCCTGGGTAACCCCCTTGTCCCTGGGCCCTTCTGCTCCCAGCCTAGACCCACCTGCCAGGAAGCAGGGCACGTGGGCAGTGGTGTTGATGAACTCGCAGGGCCTTGGTTTCTTGTTGTCAAAGGGCAGGTAGGGTAACCCATGGTCTGAGACCTCCTGGGTGATGGCCATGAGGCCCAGGGGGCTGCTGAGGTTGCGGAGGCAGCTGGCCAGGTATGGCTCGGAGGTGTACACAAAGCTGGCATCCAGAAAGGAGGTCAAAGCATTGATCTGTTCTCGGGCCAAGGATTGGTAGGGCGGAGTGGGACATTCAAACCTGGCTCGGAAGAAAGGCATGCACTTCCCTTGAGTCCTCACCTTGGGGTCATTGCGTGGGAACTGCAGAGAGATTGGGCATAAGTGACCAGGCAGGGGCAGCATAGCTGGGCCCTGGTGACCTCTCCCCAGGGCAAGACTGGATGCAAAGATGCTGATGGCACCCTCCTGGGACCCTGGGACCAGACACTGACCCTAGACACTTCCTGCTGATGTTGCACACCCTGGGCCCTTAATACCCTGAAGTTCACTATATCCTGCCTGGCACGGACTAGATGGTTAATGTCTATTTACTGACTAAAAGAGCAAAAGGCAATCGTTCAGTCCTTTACAGTGAGCACTCTAAATTTTCAGTGGGGAGGGAGTCCTGACATCCCTACACAGGAAAGCAGGACATGAGATGGGAAAGGGTCCGTTAATAATTACTACTAATAAAGCTACCATTTATTTATTTTTGGACCTACCATATGCCAGGCATTATGCATATTTTATCTCACTTCTATCCTCAGAAAACCCTGTAAAGTGGACAATTCAGTCCCATTTTACAGGTGAGGAAACTGAGGCTCAGAACAGTTAAGTGACTTGCCTAAGAACTTACAAACTGCTGGAAGGGGAAGGTGTGGGATTCGGATCTAGATTGGCTTCGTTCCACAGCTCATAGTCTTTATACCACAGCACACGGCCTTGATTTGTTGTTTAAGTGAATAAATTACTCTCTAACTGCAAAACCCGTGAATAGGAAGAAAAGGTGCACCACTGCCAGGTCCTCTCCCTTCCTGCAGGAAATTCCCACAAATCCTTGCGGCTCATTTTGTTTCTTTCAAGTTTTAGCTCCTTCTGGGAGCTGAAGTCATCCTTTAGAATGACATACAGTAGTGTTTCAAAACCTTTACTGTGTGTAAGATGAATCTCCCGGGAATTTTGGTAAAATGTATTAACAGAATGTATTTCCCAACGTCTGGGGTGAGGCTTGAGATTTTGCATGTCTAATAAGCCCCCAGGTGTTACCACTGCTGCTGACCAAGGCTCCCCAGAGCTTTCCAGTTTTGCCATTAGTAGTTACTTGTGCATTTCCCACACTGGCCCTTTGTCCTTGAGAGCAGAAGCAGAATCGTATTCACTTTTGTATCCCTGGTGCTTAGTGTACTGCCTGGCACGGATTAGACGGTTAATGTCTATTTACTGAATAAATGGATGAGTGAATGAATGGATGTGTGAGGCTTGGGAAGCTATGAAATCAGCATCCAAGATCTATCAAGAGATCCTAGTTAAAGGGCTAGGAATGTCTCCTACATCAGGGTGGGCAAGGGACTTGTTGGGGACATCTGTCCAGCTGCAGGGCCTGCCATGATGGGGAAACAGTTGCCTCCCTGGATACAGTACTCCTCACATTGGGCTTTGGAGTACTCACTACTCCCCAGCTCGGTGTCGGGGGCAAAGTCCAGGTCGTGGTCCACAGTTTGACCCCACTGCATGAAGAGCAGGGACCTGTTTTGGTCCAGGACATCCTTCTCATTCAGATAGCCGGCTATCTCGTTGGACACCTCCTCGGTCTACGGGTAGAGGGAGAAGGGGAGGGTGGATTGGAGGAAAAAGTGCTTTGAGGATTCAGATTCCACTGCAGTTTATTAAGTGCCCACGGTGTAACAGGTACGTTCAATCCCCAAGAGGAGCTTGTGAGGTGGATGGCATGACCCCATCTTGTAAAGGACGACACTGAGTCCTGGAGCGGTGACGTCAGTTCTCCAAGGTCCTGCAGCTACAAAAGGGCAGGGATGGGGCTGAACCCAGGTCTGTATGACTTGATGACTTGCAAGGCCGGTGCCCTTTCCATTATGGGGAGGAAAAACAAAGACAGGCTGCCTCCGAAGGGTATGCCACGGAGGTGCCAGGTGTCCGGGAACAGGAGAGGGGCTCCGGGTAGGGGCTGCCAGCTCCGATGCGGCCAACAGATAGGACTTCCAGGCAAACAACAGCTGATGCACTCCAGGGGCTGGGGCAGGGGTAAGCGCGAGCAGGATGGGGCAGGGAGGCCATCTGCCTGGGAGACCCCAGGGTATCTGGCCTTTGGCGGCTGGGACGTGACCACCACGTGGCTGGGCTCGGGCTCGGGCTCGGAGCTCTGCCGCCGTCTAGTGGCACTTTGGGGAGCGTCGCCAGGGAGCAAATCATCTCTCTCGGGAAGCGACTCCACCGCGCATCCCTCCACCCTCCCACCTATTTCTTCTCCCTTTCCGCGTGTGTTTGGGGAGTGCATCCCTTCCCCTATGATTCCCATCCTTCGCCCCCAGCCGGCCCGCCCTCACCAGCGGGAGAGGGAAGCCGTTGCCCATCTTCCCCGGCGTCCACCCGAAGGGCAGGGACAGCCCGTCCTCGTACTCCGCGGGCAGCCAGCGCGCCGGGGCCCTGCTGGCGGCGCCCTGCGCGGGCCTCCTCCCGAAACCGCGGAGACCGCCCTCGGCCTCGGCCGCTCCGCTCGGGCCCCGCTGCCGCGCCGGGCCACCCCTGGCCCCGGTTCCACTGCTCGGGACGCCACGGGAACCCCGGGAGCCTCTGCCCGAGGAAAAGGGGACGCAGAGGACGTGCGTCAAATGAGGGGTTTCAACTGCCCCAACCCCCTGAGGGCGGGGGTGGGGGGAGCTCCTCTGCCCTGGGGAAAGGTGTCGCTTCCAGTTAGACACTGTGGGCTCACTGGGACCGCTGGAGACGCGAGATCTTTCGAAGGTGGGGAAGTTGGGGGTGCCAGTCCGGGTGGTTAGCGAGGGTCTGCCCCTCACGCCCACCCCTGCCCAAGCACCTGTTGTTACAGTCCCCGGAAATGGTGCGGTAAGGGCTGCTCATGTCGCATTTCACCTCCCAAGACAGCGAGCTCAGGTCCAGGCTGGAGCCTGAAACAGAAGAGACCCCAAAGGGGCTGAGCTCCTTCTCCATTCAGAGGCGTGTCCTTCTCCAAACACGGCAGCACACGTGCTTTGGAATACATCCCATGTTCTAGGTGAGCGTTTCTCAGGCGGTTTCTCATTTAATCCCGACAACTCATTAAGGTAAGATTTTTTTACTCCCATTTTACAGAGAAGAAACTGAGACCATAGCATTCAAAAGACTGCCCCAGGCCACACAGATAGTGAGTAACTGGGAATGTCCCCAGCACGGCTAGTAATTCCTTGTCTCTCAGCCCAAGATTCATTTGAATCTACAAATCTTTCTTTTAGAATGAAAATACCCCAGAGGAGTTAAGCATATGTTACTATGATTTTGATAAGATTGCTTTTCTTCTAAAGCTTCACTGACACCTAACGTATCAAGCAAGCAGGAATATAGCTAGGAAGGATGATGGGGACAGATATATACATATACATATATATATGTATGTATATATATATTTTAATACAGAATCTTGCTCTATTGGCCGGGCTAGAGTGCCATGATGTCAGCCTGGCTCATGGCAACCTCAAACTCCTGAGCTCAAGCAATCCTCCCGCCTCAGCCTCCCAGAGTGCTAGGATTACAAGCGTGAGCCACTGTGCCCAGGGACAGGTAATTTTATAGTGAGGGGCAGGGGGTGGTGGGAGGAGTAACAGAGGGGGGGCTTAGGCATCAGAGGGTTCAATGTGGGCACAGAATGGAGACAGCTGCCAATTTCCAAATGTAGCCCCTCATCCATCCTGGTGTCTGCAATGAAAGGGAGACTAGGAAATGTGGCTGTATGGGAGGGACGGAGGGCATCTGTGAAAGTTGGCAGGGGCTGTGGTTCAACCCTCAGCACCTTTTGAATTTCAGAATCCAAAGTGCTTCCTACTTCTCCCCACCTTGTCCCAGTTTCCTTCTTTTGGCATTTTGGAATTTTCCCAAGTCCTGGGCCAGGTATTCTCCCTCCATTGGTGTTTTTCCAGGGAGAACCTGCAGCCTCTTCCTCCTGTCAGGACCAAACCCCTTCCTCATGACCCTCCATGAGCTGTGACATTTGGCTGGGGGTGGGGACGGGTGGAGGAGGTCATGACCAAGCCATCAGTTAAATTCATTGTTTCAGCAACAAGTTACCCAGAACAAGATGGAAATCTCATCTCCTGTGACATAATCCTTCTAAATCCCCCTGACACCGGTGGCTTAAATGTCCCCTGTATTAGAGGAAGTGGTGGCACTGTGGTTTGGGACAGGGAGCCCATGTTTATTGACTTTAGCACTTCCTCTGGGCACAGGCTTTACAGATGGTATTGTACAAAAAGTACCAATGTCGCTTCACTTGTAGTTGGCAATGTGACATTGCTAGGTCGGAGTTCCTGCCTCTGCTGTCCTCTAAGCCCCTTGTTGCTCTGCCAGTCTGGTCTACGATTCTGTGACGGGAGAGTTGCGTGTGCCTCTCTGAGTAGATAGCTCCTGACAGGGAGTGCGGCCTCTGGTGGCCTCTGCTCTGTCCTGTGGGGAGGCGGCCCCTTCCTGCCATGGGGGGGGGGCTAGTGGGTTTTCTGTACCTGTGACGTTGGTCAAGGACGCCTCTGCCTCAGTCTCTTTAGGGACTCCTCCCACACCTGCCCGTTGCGGATGGCTGTGCGTGTCCGGCCTTTGGCGTGCTTGAGGTACTCTGACAGCTGTCGGCTGGTGGGCGTCTCAGAGCTCATGGCAGCCTTCAGCTTGTGGTGGAGAGGGGTGGAGATCACAGCCTGGCGCCGTAGGAGGGGGCTGGGGGCCCAGTGGAGGGGCAGGAGGTGGTGTGTGTACAGGGGACGTGGGAAGCACACAGGACACAGACACTTCTGTGCTCCCAGGACCTTTTCTTCATTTCTCCGCTAGTGCCTCTGGAAATGCTCCTCTGGGAGGAGGAGGCTACAGTGGCCACTGAGCGTTGTCAGGTCTGGTGCTGAGGCAAGGCAGGTGGAAGGACGTGAAAAGAGGAGTTTCTGGTTCCAGTCAGGGGGTTGCAGCTGGGCTGGAACTAAGGAGCCTCGAAAACACACACAGGCCCCGGGAGTGACTGATTCAGACTTGAGGAACCCCTGGCATGTAGCTGGCATGTCATCAAGCCCTGTGGAGGAGAATTCTAGGGATAGGAGGTGCGTGGGCCTCCAGGCAGCCCATGACAACATCCTTCACTGCATCTGCCCTACAGCTAGCATCGAGTTTGTTCAGATGTGGCCCGAAGCACCCAGCCTATTAATTTCCCATGTGTACAATGAGAAAACAAAAACCCTTCTACTGAGAAGTTTGTGACAACACATAGATGACCAAGGGCAAGGTGGAAAGAAAAGTCTCTCCTTAAGAAACCTCTACCCCCTCACTGTGCCTCAGTTTCCTTATGTGTGAGATGAAGAGGCTCTATGAGATGATCTCTGTGGCTCTAAGACTCATAAATATTGAAAGTGGCTGAAATTTTCACAAAAGACAACCCTGATTTCTGGGTACAGTTCGCTGGCTGTCGTGCCTGGCTTTTCACTACGTACCAGGCCATTAACTCTAAAGCACGAGAGGACTACGCGGGTGCCCAGGGCAGGTGCAAGGACTCACCAGGCCTACTGCCTTCCAACCTCCCATTCCTTCACTCCATTTCAGCTTCCCTGAGAGCACGCCCCTAATAAGCCACCTGCACGTACATCCAGGTCTCGGGTTCTGCTTCTAGTGACCCTGACCTAAGTAGGCTGAATGAAGAACTTTTACCTAGAGGCTTTTGGAGACTCTGGAATGCATGACCCAAGGAAATATTAGGCCATCTGGAAGAAAGTCCTTCCAGCATTAGGTTAGATGTCTACTTCCAGGTAACCTCCAGGCTGAAGGTGTTGGGAGTTGTGGGCTATTGCTCCTACATGCCACATACTTGGAGAGGGGTAGAAAGGTGAGTTTTACAATTGCTCTGGCTCACTGGCTTGTCAGGGCTGGCCTAGAC